GAGAGAGAGAGAGAGAGAGAGAGAGAGTGAGTGCGCGCGCGCGCGCACATGCATTTAACAGATTGTGATTATGCGTGCATGTGTATTTATATTTGTGAATGTGTGTATGTGTGGATCTCTGTGTGTGTTTGTGTGCGTTTGCGTGTGATTGTACGTGTGTGTAGCCATTGGGGCCTACTTAACTACTGCATCGTGTTGTGTGCAGAAGTAGAAGCTTTGACTTTCCTGCAGTTGGGCAACACACCAGGTCACCTTGATACACAATTTCACCATTGACGATCAATTCAAAAATAAAATAATTAGCTAAAATTTACATAGTATCGCATAAAATCAAGTTCCCTTCGACCCGATTTACTTATTTTGAGACGCTGAGTCCGAATATGAAATCAGTTTTGAGATGCGATAATTATTTTTTTAATTTTGTGCTCCAAGTTTAATCCTGCGAGGCGGCAAATTTTAAAGTGATTCTGATTATACGTCACAACGTGCAAGCGCCATGATCTTGACAGCAGGCGCCACCAAGTCTGTACTGGGACAGTTTTGTCTTAATGCGGTAGACAGCTATATTTCTCTATAACAACAGACGATATTACCCCGGGACTGGGATAGGCCAAGTCCTATTCCATCGATTTTGTAGCAATTCACAACTGCTCGGCAGTGCTCGGGACTCAAACCGACAAAAATGTCCCGTCCCAGTAGGTGCGGTACATTACACTTTAAATCAAAGGTTTTAAAGTCCAGACGGGTTTGTCCCGGAACGAACTGTCGTAGTGTGGTAGAGGCTTTAACCTCATTTTCTACATCTCGATTCTCAACGTTTTCTCTCACCTGCAGTCGCTCGGTTGTTTCTAAAGTACACAGTACACACAGTCTATTGTCACGTGTTAGAATTCTCATCAAAATGGATGTTGATCAAAATTTGACAGAAAACATTATTTGTGCAGTGGAAAGTAAGCCGTGTTTGTACAACACGGGTGATGGTGACTATTGTAATCGAGAGGTAAAAGCCAAGGCATGGACAGAAGTATGTGAAACAATCGCCCGGGGATGGAAAGGCATGTCTGATCTACACAGAATACTCAAAGGTAGGTACAATTTGTATTTGTCTTGCTTATGGTGAAAAAAATATCCATGTATCTAGAATAGAAGGGAGACATTTGTGATTGAAGGAGGAGGGGTTACCTGGAGTCAAAGAAAAACTTATGAGAGAGAAAATTGCCGCCAAAGTTTGGTGCCTGACCTTCAAAGTTTGAAAGTCCTTAGATACTTCAAATTTACTGAGGGGGGGGGGGGGGGGGGGGGGGG